AGGGCATTTCTAAGGAATCGTTCAATGTGATGCAACAAAGGAACGTTAGACGAAGCCATGCTTATCTGAAATAGATTCTTAGGCAATGAACCAAATGAATTTAGAACTACAACAAGTTCCATTCACCTACGATCAGGTATGAATGTCAGACCGAGGTAAAAGATAGCCTGCTTTTTCTTAGGAGCTTGATTTATGGGGTGGCTTTTGACGTTCATTTCGGGCTTATTAATGTCAGAAGCCACAGCAGACATGTTCATGGACTTTTTAAGTGTCAGAGCTGGTCACTGACCTGAAATGGCTAATGTCAACAAGTTGTTTTTAGGGACAAAATGAGCGTGAAATTAGCGTCAGGTATTGCCTGGCGTAATTCCTGACGCTTATTTGAATCGCAAAGTAAGAACAGTCTCGTGGGTATTTTGTCACTTTGACCTTATAAAGGCCAAAAAGTCACTGGCACTAAATGAACATCACTGACCTTTTGCTTAGAACAGGTATCTAGCTTCACCACGGCGATTGCATGAGGAGGTCTGGGAATATTAAGACACCGATCTGGATTTTGACCTTGTTTGACCCTATTTGACCCAAAGGTCATGACTTACGAACCATAAATCTTTATACCGGTGAGTTTACATACAGGCTAACAAACCCCGTGAATTTGGTGTCTCTAGCTATGTTAGTTTCTTAAATCTTGGGGGGGGCAAGTTGCCCCCCACGCGAGCAAAGGGTATTCAACCGGACACCCGGGCGCGTGTAAATAGCACGCTATTCCGCACCGAATCATCGCTGGCTCCCCATACTCTGCACCAGACGACACACCTGGCATGGAGAGGAGTGCGCACGGATGTCGTCCCGAGGCTGCTGTACGTGTATGTAAGCATGCAGGCAGGAGTGTCTGTTTCATGCAGTCTAGAATCGTTCCGAAACCCAACACCTCCTAGCACTGTTGGCAGTCTGCATAACGTGCCAACCTATGCTACACCAAAACTTTCGCTAATCGCGAGCTGGTCCAGTGTAATGATGCATCAGTTTTTTTCTTTCGAAATCTAGTGTTTTTCTGCCTTTTTCTTTAAAGAAAGCGGAAATGCTACATCTTAGTGTTTCGAGCCGCCTGCTAGATGTACACCAAGGTGATCCCCTCTCTTGCGTTGCAATGGGCTCAGAGAGGAGTCTGTATATGAGAACCAATCAGCTGAAGAGAAAATCTAACGTAGCACAGCGGATACCCCAGCTTGCTATGCCGCCTGTCGCAGACTGCACCACTGCGTGAAGAACAGCTGTGTCTTCCGCTCCTTCTCCCAACAGTTCTCGCAGGAACACATCCCAAGAGACACTCGGGTCGGCTGCTCAGTAAGACAGTCGGTTGTTCAGCGTACAGACAGTCGGCTGTTCAGTGTACAGACGGTCGCAGTTTATTGAGGCACGTGGACAATAGTCAAAATCGGAGACAAACTGGAGCGAATATCATCGAAGAAACGAATAGAAGCGGAGACGCCGCCTACATGCCTAGCATGAACGCTGAATGAAAACTACACGATTGTACCCGGCTAAACGCCGTCTCCTCGTTTCTGATCAAAGGCAAGGCTCTGTGCAACCAACAGTTGATCCGCAGCGTCACTCCACTGACGCGGCGGTTACGTTTTGGCACTGAATAGCTCGTGACCGACCGACTTATTTCGGTTCCAACCATCCCCGCGCGCGGACCCACCGTCCCCCAGCACCTTCTGCGTGGTCGGCGGGGCGGGCCGACCGGCGAGAGCCATTCAGGGCGGGCGGCCTGCGATGAATATCCCCGACACATGGCGATAGATGGTGAATAATCGGCGGCGCAGGCCTCAGCCACGCCGAGCGGGTAATGGTTCAGAAAGCGAATCAGTTCATCTCATCCCAAGCGACGTTTTGAAAGAAAACGTTCATGTGTATCTTTTCGCATTTGGTTTTTGCTTTTCGAATTTTTCAAACCAGCAAAACGCAGTGTTGTCATTTCATCACCCCGTTCAGCACTGCTTCCATCCTTCAGCCATGAAGTAGAGCTACGTGATGTGTAGAATAACTGGAAAGACGTTCGCAGAGAACAGACAGCACCTTAAAGGTGCTAGATGCAGTGACATAGATCCGGCATTGATCGTCGCCTCATGGCAGCGCAATATGCCAGCACTAGTCCTGACCTGGAACTGCCGCTAGCCCTGCTAGGAGTGAACAATGCCTCGGTAAGGCCAGAGACGCCATCACTCGTGTCAATATCACGTCTACGGACTGTGCAGGGGTAAAAAAGCGCCGGCGATCGACGCTCGGGGCGCTACGTAGAATCGAAGAGCGAAGATAATAGGGACCTTTGATAAGCGGCCCGGACGTCATGTCAGCGATCACGTTGCTGACGGCCAGCTGGCCAGCCGCAGCTGTTGCAGCACATAGCCAGCCGGCTACAACTGCCCAGCCGTGGCCAGCCAGTCACAACTGCCCAGTCATGGCCAGCCAGCCAACCGCAGCTGCCGTAGCACACAGTCAGCCGGTCACAACTGCCCAACCATGGCCGGTCAGCCAGCCACAGCTGCTGCAGCACACGGCCAGCCAGCCGCAGCTGCCGCAGCACACAGCCAGCCGGTCACAACTGCCAGACATGGCCAGCCGGTCACAAATGCCCAACCATGGCCAGCCAGCCAGCCACAGCTGCCGCAGCGCACAGCCAGCCAGTCGCAGCTGCCGCAGCACACAGTCAGCCGGTAACAACTGCCTAGCCATGGCCAGCTAGCCAGCCAGCCAGCCACAGTCGCGCCAGTCACACAGCCAGCCGATCACAACTGCCCAGCCATGACCAGCCAGCCAGCCACAGTCGTGCCAGTCACTCAGTCGGCCGGCTATAACTGCCCAGCCATGGCCAGCCAGTCGGCCACACAGTCAGTCAGACACAACTGTTCAGCCATGGCCAGGCAGCCACTACAGTCGCGCCAGTCACACAGTCAGGCAGCCGGCCACGACTGCCCAATAAAGTCAGCCAGCCAGCCACACTCGCAGCTGGTAGCTTGCATGACGCCTAGAGGACACATCGCATGATCCGTTTCTAAATTCTCAGCACATTAGTTCCGACAGATGCTGCACAAACTGTTATCCGAGACTCAGACTCAAGAACTACACAGTTTTAGGCCGAACATCCTCCATTTGGTTTTGACTGCAGGATGAATGTCAGCATCGCCAACATGTTCAACATAAAATGCAATGCGAACGCAGAAAGATCTGGTGAAATATCAAACGGAGAAAGACAACAAAAAAGTGAAGGTCTGTCACTTCAAATTCCGTTTCGAGGGCACGATGAGGTTTGGCAGCTTAAATCGTGTAGGAGGGCACAGAGACACGTGGTTGGGGACAGTGGGGACCAACAGTGCGGGTTTATGATGGTTCTGTGCGAAGGGATGACAGCCGAGAGCACACAGCCAAACGGAAATTATTTCGGTACTGACTTGGCGAACGATTGTCAGTTCATTTTTAATTGGACCGAATATTTTGCAGGGTTTAATTCCGGATCGATTTGTTTGCTAGGCACTGGTTTCTGTATAAAATTGGAGGCCATCTCTTCGTTAAAGTAATCGCAGTTGAACTGCAAATTTTTACCGGAAAATATTGCCGTGCCACACGACGCCCCGACACGGCTGCCCCTGTTCCAGCCTGACTTTCTTGGCAATTTGCCAACTGGCCCCATCAGTGACGAGGCACAAACTTGCGCTTCGATGATGACGATTCGGGCTTTGGGGCGTACCGACTACGTTAGTCATATGGCGCCCAAAAACTTGCGCTTTGAGACGTGGTGTGACATGCCTGCCACACGTTAGCCAGTGTCCTGCCTCCGCCCTCTACCAACTGAGCGACAAACAGCGGGTTACATCGTATCAAAATCAGGCTTAAACTCCAAGAATAAATCCGCCATTTAAGGAGCTGAAAAAACTCATTCCCATCAAGAATACGGCCACTAGCCTACTTGGATCAGGGACGGAGTCATCTCAACAGCCGTTGCACGCGTTACATACGACCTTAGCCCAATGAAGTGAAGCGGGGGAGCGCGGATGACCTCTCGACCAAATCACACGGGTTCACTCCGGCCCGAGCACACATCGAGCCAGTGCGCACTCACAGACCGGGTCTGCTCATAGGGCGAGGACGGATCAGCCATCCACAGCGCGCACTGAGGTCGGCCAGGTTTTCGCAGGTCGGAGCGGAACCCACCGAGCCCGGACCGGCACCTGGCCGGGGGACGACAGAGGCTGGACAGAGTCCGAACGAGAACCCCATCAAAAGTGAGGTTCGTAACATAAAAATACGACATACGTCATCCTAGCACGCATGACCCAAGATCATGGGCCGCGAACAGGTCAATATTATGGCAGTTTAGATTTACAGGAGGGGGTCTCATACATCGTGTGCCGCCGTCCCCCATACTCTGTGACTGTGAAGGATCACATTGTGCAGCAGCACTGCAGATATTGTTAATCTGACAGGCACTGAAAATCTGAGTCTCATCAAAGACTCGAACCCCAGACATTTGGAAGTCAGACGATGGCCCGCAGCACGGGTGTACAATGCAGCCCCTCACAACTGGATCATGGCGAAAGCGCGGCATCCGATGGGTCAATAGTACTTATAATTTTGATGCCGTCATGTATGAGCAATGGGAACCCAAGGAAACCATTTGATTCGTAAAAAAGCTATCACGATGAGATTGAAAAACCATGTGTGTTGCAGGTTAGTTTTCACGGAGTCGCCTACACGCCTCCGTCGTAGTACGCCAGTCAGTGTGATTGCAGGACAAGGCCGCAAAAAAACGCATAAAAAAACAGAGGCAGGCCGCACACGAAACACTGTTCGTGACCAGCCACTCGAAGGAGCCGATACATGCATGCACCAAATGGGGACAGGGGAAGGGGGAACCCATTACAATTTTCGGAAAACCCAAATGTAGAAACAGTGTACTGCACCGCTTGCCTGAATGGATGGGGGTTGGGGGGGGGGGGGGGGGGGGGGAGGTGGCAGACGGCTCTCGTACGCGAACCCGATCACACTATGTGACGTAACCGGACCGACGCCCGAAGAGACGTCACGAGTCGCGTGACGTCATTTATCTGACATCCCCACCGCGCGGCGACCTCACGTCGCACGCGATACAGTGGCCTACAAACCAGCCATGCTTCGAGCAGATTGGTCAGGGGTCCTCAAATGTTCTACACGTGGACTTGTTCTCCAGCAAGCGCTCAGCAGCGACGGGCAGCGGTATCACTCAGAGTCCACAAACGTTCACCGAAACACCGGAGCACATCCGCACATGTTCCCTCTGTGGTGTAGCGGCGGCGGTCGGCGATCGCAGCGCACCCTGGCTCAGCCAGCCCCGCCCGCGGCGGTGTCTCGCGGCTCGTCCAGCGACCAGGGGCCACCAGCCGCGCCGTCGGTGGTGGTGGTACCATCTGGTGGGCGCCCCGGCCACTGGTGACGCGGCGCCCTGGTGATCCCTGCCGCCGGTGACACAGCGCCCTGGCGCTCCCCGCCACCGGTGACGCGGCACCTTGGCGCTCCCCGCCGCCGGTAACGCGGCGCCCTGGCGCTCTCCGCCGCCGGTGACGCGGCGCGCTGGTGCCCCCCGTCGCCGGTGACGCGGCGCGCTGGCACTCCCCGCCGCCGGTGACTCTCCGCTGGGCTATCGGGGCTGGCTGAAGCCGTTGGACTCTTGGCCACGGCCATCGTCGAAGCGCTGCTCCTCCAGGGAGACGTCCACCGCGTTGGTTACGCCGCTCTTGACGCGGTAGTCGTTACCGTCGCAGATGTCCTCCTGCTTGTCCCACGTCTGTCGCTCCACCGACATCATCAGCTGGTACAGCACCAGGGCGGTGAAGAAGATGCCGCAGCCCAGGTAGAAGACGATGCTCCACCGCTCCATGGTCTGCTGGCCGCGGATGATGGCGCCTGTCGGCACGCACGCGCAGAGGGCGTCAGCGGCAGGCACAGCGTGATATAATGATGGTCGCGCTCGAAACGTCAGGCTCAGGCTAATGGGACGGCGTGTGCACAGGTAAGGTGCATAGGTAAGATGCATAGGTAGGGTGTTCAAGTAAAGTGCACAGTTAAGATGCGCAGGTAGGGTGCGCAGATAAAGAGCATAGGTTAGATGTACAGGTAGGCGCATAAATAATGTGCCTACGTCAGGTGCACAGGTAAGATGCGCAGGTAGGGTGGGCAGGTAAGGTGCACGGGTTGGGTGCATCAGTAAGATGCATAGGTTAAGTACACATATAAGGTGCAAAGGTAGGGTCTAGATGTTTAGACCAAGCACAAAGCTAGGGTGCATAGGTAATGTGCACGGGTAAAATGCAAAGGTCAGGTGCGTAGGTAAGGTAGGCAGGCGAGAGCGGCAAACGGCATGGCGTCACAGATATTCTAAAATCATTGACGGTAATAGTTTTGACCCAAAATTCAGCAATTTTTTTATCAAACAAGAAGGAAATGTGGATTCCAGCCCACACCTTTTCAACCAATACATATCCAGAGCACCCGAATATTACCGCCTTTCTGCGCTTTGTCCCTAGCCGCAACGTTATGGATAACAAGTTGTTGCTATTGAAGTGTCAGCTTTGTGACAAATGACCCCCCCCCCCCGCCCAACAGCCCGTGGCGCCAAAGCTTCGTGGAATCATTGCGGCGTATACCAAAAAACACCTGGCTAAAATAATTATATCAAATGAGTCAGAAGATCACATTCTACATCTCGAGCAGAAAAAAAAACATTTTCATTAATTTCATTCCTTGCAATGCGCCGCTTTCCGAGGTGCCAGACCTTAGCAAATCACCTGCATAAACTGTTTACCGAGGCTGTTCGGATAGCTAGGACCGCTATGCTCTGTTATACACCGCCGTCGATCCGGCTGGGTGGCAAGGTGCAGCATCGCAGTCATTCTAGGATGATACGGGTAAGGCTGAACTAGGACATACGTATGTTGTTACGTGCATTTGCGAGGAGCATTATTCACATAGATGATGCAATAGTAATAGCCGCATTCCTCGGAAAAAAAACAGGAATATGGAGAGAGATGTGTTATGATGCGCAGCTCTACCTCCATTCTCCTTGTTTTTCTCCGGGGAATGGGGCTGTCACTACTGTCTTATCTATACGAACTAAGAGATTTGCACGATTTACTACATGATCACTGTTCTCAGAGAAATTGGTCCTTACACGAGTGCAGTTCAGCCTTATGGTGGCGCATGAATTGCCCTGACGCAAGCTGGCACTGTGCAGCCAAGATTAATTGCCAAATAAGTGCAACAAAAAAGACCTCTTTAACCTTAACTATGCACCTCGCGTTTTCTACATATCTCGGAGTTCGGGCTGGCTGCTGCACAAACGGCTTCTGCATGCTGGGTGAGCAGACGCCAGAATGAACACGATCTTTTACTTGCTCATGCCAACATTGATTCCTATAGCATCATGGATCCGCAGCTAAATCACGGCCCGATTGTTATCATGTGCGCAATTCAACACATAAACTCTACATCGTTAAGATTCTGAGGACAATGTCATGAGCTTTCGGGACGGCATGCCGTGGGTACCCCACAATAACAATGTTCCATGTCCAGCGACTGTGCCGCCTCCCCCCTCCCCTCTCTCCGGCGGGATCAACAATCGTGCGCCACCTACCGGTCACGATGGGGTTGAGGATGGCCATGGCGTTCGCTAGGAAGTTGGCGATGCCGTACAGGCTGCCGGAATAGTTCGGCGCAATGTCGAGGCTGTTAACCAGGTGGCCGGTGCCGATGAAGCCGTTGAAGAAGCCGGCCATGAAGAAGAAGAAGGTGGCGACGGCCGGCTGGCAGCCGACGAAGGTGACCAGCAGCAGGAGGAGGCCGCAGCCGCCGTTGACGAGCGTGGCGGCCAGGCGGCGGATGGTGGCCGTGGTGACCCAGCGGCGACGCAGCGCCATGTCGGCCAGCAGACCGGCGCCGCAGAACGCCAGGCCGCGCCCCAGCAGCGGCAGCCCGCTCAGCAGGCCGTTGGCGCGGATGTTGAAGCCGAGGATGTGCTTCATGTAGGTGGGCAGCGAGGTGAGCAGGTACGTGAGCGCCCAGCTGTTGGCGCACTCGGTGATGACGATGGCCCAGACGGGCGGCGAGAGCAGCATCTGCAGGTAGGGCGGCCGCCGCTCCGTGCGCCGCTTGGTGGCGTTGCCGGCGGCGATCAGGCGACGCTCGCGCTCGCTGATGCGCGGGTGGTCGGCCGGCGTATCGTGCATCAGCAGCACCCAGCACGCCAGCCAGAACAGGCCCACGCCGCCCGTGATGTAGAAGATGGCGCGCCAGCCGTAGCTGGACGCCACCAGGCCCGAGCATGCCGACGTCGTGACGATGCCGAACGCCGTGAAGCCGTTGATGCAGCCCAGCGCCATCTGCCGCTCGTTGATCGGGAACCAGCGGCCTAGCGTGGGGTAGAGGCAGGGGTAGATGACGCCGCACGCCAGGCCCTGCAGCACGCGCACCACCATGACCCAGGGCGCACCGAGCGCCGCCGCCGACGGGATGAGCAGGCTCAGCGCCGCGTTACTGCCCTGTGACACGCCCAGCACGATCTTGGTGCCGTAACGCTCGGTGAAGTAGCCGCCCGGCACCTGCGTCACCGTGTAGCCCCAGTAGAACGACGAGAGGATCAGGCCCTGGGTGAACTCGTCCCATAGGTACTCTCCGTCCTCTGGCCGTCCAGAGCCGGCCGGCGTCGTCTTCTCCAGGCTGGCGTTAGCCGCCGTTGCCGCCGGCGGCGCCACGCTCGAGTTCTGGCAGATGGCCACGTGCGATGTCTGTACGTGCGGGATGGCCGTGTGGTTGACCATGGCGACCACGCCCACCGACATGGTGACGCGCAGGCTCATCTACCGGGCAGACACGCATACACATCAGTCGGAGCACAGCCTCACCGGGGGAGCAGACACGCATAGACATCAGTCGGAGTACAGCCTCACCGGGGAAACAGATACGCATATACATCAGTCGGAGCACAGCCTCACCGGGGGAGCAGACACGCATACACATCAGTCGGGGTGCAGCCTCATAGGTGGAGCAGACACGCATACACATCAGTCGGAGTATAGCCTCACCGGGGGAGCAGACACGTATACACATCAGTCGGAGTATAGCCTCACCGGGGGAGCAGACATGCATACTCATCAGTCGGAGTATAGCCTCAGCGGGAGAACAGACACGCATACACATCAATCGGGGAGCAGCCTCACAGGGGGAGCAGACACGCATACACATCAGTCGGAGCACAGCCTCACCGGGAGAGCAGACACGCATACACATCAGTCGGGGTGCAGCCTTACAGGGGGAGCAGACACGCACATGCGTAGGTCAGAGGAAGCGCAATCGTCTTATCTGTAGAACACGATGTTCAAGATATCTGCTTTAAAACATAGCCATCTTTGGTTTGGAATACAGAATGCTAAACCGAAATTGTACGCAAGCCATGTGGACTTGTTGGCTAGACCTCACATACGGACTCTTCATCGGACGGACAGAGGTCAACGGAGCTGGGCGGAGGTCGGAGGAGCCGGGAGCAAACGAAGGCAGGGCTGACAAGTTTGCAGTGTCGCGGCAGAAGCTTCGCCACGGTATCACACCTAGCGCGACAGATGGAAACGAAAGGCTGGAGAATTTGACCCATTTTTCGGGAAACAACACACAACAATCAGTCGTCCAAGCCCGTGGCCAAATAAGATAATCGATGCAGCCAAGCTAGTTCACCCGCAGCTGAGCGCAGCGCACATGAACTACTCCGCGTTTGATCAACACTCAATTCAGTCGGTGTTAGAACGGGCAATGATAATGCTATATTCACGGTTTCAGGAAGCGGCAGCAAAGTGACGGTTCCCTGAGTTTGCCTGCCAGCCTTGGTGGTAAGAAAAGCGAAGGTACGATTCCACCGAAGCAATGCAGCGCAATATTATGATTCCGAGGACGCAGCGGTCCACCAGATCATCAGCTGATATAAACGGACACCGTTCATGCAAGGTCCGGGGGAGGGGGGGGGGGGGGCGGGGGGCAGAAACATCACCAGGGAGAAAAGTCTTCATCGAGAACCGTCACTCAACAGAATGGTGCCATGTTGGCTGCCTCTGACGTGCCAGTCACGGATCGCTGAAACAGGACATGATTCCCGATCAAGCGTTTGCGATGCTGGCTTCGGACCAGGTGGACCTGGGCTAAACGCTATGTGGGTGCTTTGCAACATTGCGGCTGTCATCATCCTATCCAAGGTCAGAGGCAGGTCTATGAAACAGGTAACATGCGGTATTGATGAGCAGGATACAGGCATTTGTTATGCAGTACGTTATCGGCGCGTGTTCTAGACCATGATCACTGGCACCCCTTGACCTCCTTGACCTCTGCAGGGTCCGTTCCATCGGTGAGAGAAAGGCTTTGGCACCGACGGACGTTCATGACCATTTCATTCACAGCCGACAACATTGCCCCAGCCGTTTCGCCTTCGCTAAACAGGAACAGCACGTGAGCAGCATACTGAGCAGAACGGGCGCAGCGCTTCGACCGTTTACAACCGGTTTATTCGGCCAAGAAGCCAGGCGGCTGTAAGTACCTTTCGCTGTCGGAGATTTAGCGGTTTCGTTTCTGTAGCTCGGCAGCGGATGACCGACCGTAACCTATCGTTTGCACCGACACAGAGAGCAGAGTGGTGCAGTCTTCATGCGACAACAGGCGTTTTGGTTTGTTTGTGTTATGCTTTATAGGCGGTTAGGCCCGTCAAACAGCAGAAACCAAAATCAATTCAGCAGTTGCAGCGAAGTTTGAGGGTGGGAAGAGGCTTGGTGTTTTGACAATAAGCAGCTTTTTCGGTCTAGCCTAATTAGCCAAACGGAAAGCTGGTGTAAGGTAACCATGAAGGGACGAGGTGAACAAAAAAAAAATTGTGAGCGACTTTGAAGTTTTCACGCAGTTTACAAGATCAGATTAAAATGCATCTTTTGAATTCCACCATGGTCGCCCAAATCCTTTCGTAGTCTGTCTTTTGGCATGGTTGCAGTCTATAATTATGCCCTGCAAAGTGTAGTACTTTTAAAACATGTTAGCAATCAAAGTGGTGCTCTGGGACACGGGGAATAAAAATGTTCTTTATATATCAATAGGCTCAATAACACGACCAGGTATTGACCGCAGCACGAAAGTGGCGCACCACCGGTTATGACCTTGGGGCGTCCTCGTACCATGCCGCTGTTTTAAGTTTGATAACGCGACCGTGCCGGTGGAGCGAGGCGCCCCTGGCCCTCTGCTCCCAGGTCATCGATCCTGGTCACGTGACGCATGACGAGGCACACGGTGTCACTCAGCCACCGCACGGTCGGTCCCCGAGGGCACGTCGGCGTCTGTTGCCGGCGACAAGGGGCGGAACGCCGAGCGTGCCGCCGCCCGTAATGAGACCCCTCCATCCTGGACCGATGGGGAGGGGCGGACAGTGGCGTGCGTTGTTTCCATACAATGGTACGGCGAGGTTATTGTGAAGGTCTTCGAGGGAGACTACTCCTGTCCAGCCCACTATGTGCCGTCACTATAGTAGAGGCCACTGGTAAAGCTCGACCACTTTCTGGCACACAATCAAGAAACACTGGCGCGAAGGTCACAGTCCAGACCACGGCGTCAGCGTTGATGGAGGAGTCCTACTCGCCCACAACAGAGCGACGGTATTGCGGGAGTTACGGGGAAGCTCACGGAGTTGCATTATCGCACGAACCGACCGGCTGCCTGGCCGGTGGTGATCGACGGTCGGCACAAGCGACCGATGCCGTTCTCAGGGCACGTAGACCTACGAACTCTGTCACGTTTGCCCTGCGGGCGTGATGAAGGACGTCGCCGGTGCACAAAGAATGTTGGATGCCATTCAGGGTCGTAGCGCCACTGGCACCGTTGTGATACGTCAGCAGCCAGTGACGCCATTGCCATAATTCAGCGGTTACTGGCACGGCTGCCACATGTCGGTGGTCGCTGACACAAATGTCACAAGTCAGCGGTTACTGACACCGCTGTCGCAGGTCAGCGGCTACTGACACCGGTGTCACAAGTCAGCGGTTACTAACACCGCTGTCACAAGTCAGCGGTTACTGACACCGATGTTACAAGTCAGCGGTTACTGACACCGGTGCCCCAAGTCAATGGTTACTGACACCGTTGTCACAAGTCAGTGGTTGCTGACACCGGTGTCAGAAGTCAGCGGTTACTGACACAGCTGTCATATGTCAGCGGTCACCGACTCGTCTCCCATGGGCATTAGTTACTGACACACTTTAATAGGTCTGACGCTACTGGTACGACTGAAACAGGCTGAGAGTTCGCATCGATCACTCCAGGCAGTGCAGCAGCTGGCTATGGCAGGTTCACGTAATCCGCAACCTGTACGTAGTATGCCACGGGTGGCAAAGGCTGCTGTCAGTAGGTTGGGATAGGCGTGTCCGGCACCGCAATATAGCACGGAGGTCACGAGAGGGGTCATAGAGTCAGTCGATGGGGCATACGGACGTCCGCCGACCCAGACAACGTCTGCTGTCTTCCTGACCGCGGGCAGCCGTTTGAGCCTCTGCCGCCGGGTGGCTCTCGTCAAAGCCGAGGATGCGTCCTCATGTACGTTATATGGTCGTCACGCTATCGTCAGACGTGGACATAGAATGTCAACGTGACGTGACCAATGGGACCTACAGGTCAACGTGGCTTCTCCGTGAAGCGATGTCATCTCGAAATTTAATTTTGCATAGTTTGTAAGTATCAGAGCTTATCATTCATTAATCAATCCTGACCAACGCGATCTTGCGTTTCGGCCGCCATTGGCTGGTTTAGATCGCATGACGCTCTTCGCGAGATAAAGGTCATACGAATCACAACGTCGCTGATAACAAAGGCGAAGAAGCGGTTGTGGCCGGAGCAATACAACGCAACAACTTCCACGAATGTTGCCATCTCGAGCTAAAAGTTGAAGAGTTCCATGACGTCTGGCGATACAATCAGAGGCTGGAGCAGAGTTATCGCCGGCCGCAACCCTTTCCACCATTTCCCGGCCGTCGGCGTCGTCAGAAAGAGCCGGGAGCTGACCCGTTCATCCCATTACACTTTCCTTCGCGTTTGCTGCACCGTCGCTCTCGTCCATCACGGATAAAAAAACATCACTCTCAGAGGCATCGCCGTGGCTACATTGATCTCAGGTGCATGGATACCACGGGTGCTCGGAGCACTTCAATGCCTGGGCACACGCCATTCGCGTCAACCCGAGGTTTGAGTGCTGTCGCCGCATTCCAAGCGGTCATTGTTGCAAAAAAAACTGCACGTTCACGTCGAACAGCTGTCACAACTAAACGTAAATATCGGCGCCGAAGGGACCAAACATTTATGGGATCGCGCCACAATACGTCAAGCCACCTACCGTCTGAACAGTTCGATCAGTATCCATCCGGAGGACATATGTTAAGTTCTTGACGCTGCGCCAGCAGTGCCGCGGCGGCGACATCCGGTCTCGCCCCGCCCACCCGTGACGTCAGGTTGTGCCCGTGACAGGGGCGGCTGGCACACCCTCCGTGCCCTCCGCTCTGCCAACTGGGCCACGCGGGCGCCGGCGGACTGCCTGGGGGCTCGCGAAGCGTGGCCGCACCGCGGCCATCCCGACCGTCCACCGCTCTCTGTCAGACTGTGGCACTCTCCTCCATCTTGTCCGCGGTGATTTTGAACCAGTCATCCGCAGCGAGCCGGGCCCGACAGATACGGGGCTTTACGGGGCCTTTCAGACGGGAGACGGGGTAGAAGAGGCGGGAGAGAAGGCCTCTCTCCGAGGTTGGGGCATCAACACGACTAGCGTTACTCTGTTGCCTGACAAAACAGCCTAAACATTTGCTTGCCAGCCAAACTAAGCCCTGAAGTGGCCGCTAGTCATAAAAAAAACACTTCACAAGCCCACAGTAGAAGCCATCAAGTCAAAAAGCCCCTACTTCGGCCATGTCCCATTACAAATGCATTATGAATGAAAACCTCTTGAAACACTATAAAAATAAGATTTAAAATACTGCGAAACTGAAATCTGTCGTGGAATGCTCTGATGCTGCCGATGTATATATATATATATATACATATATATATATATATATATATATATATATATATATATATATATATATATATATATATATGGTATTTCTTGGCCGCGAAGTATGTTCCGACAGACTAGCCAAGGCTTCAGCTGCGGCCCGGTAGTGCTTACACCAATGTACCACGGGCGCCTGTGTAACCCATTCATCCAGACTTGGGTGCGCTCGAGCTATCGGCCGCACCACTAGGCAAGTCTCCGCGTTTCGGTTTCTCCTTGCTTGCGGCTCTTACTGCAGCTAACGACGAGCATTTAGGCGCGACGCGTTCTCGCTCGCAGGGCGGTCCCCCCCACGGCAGAGCTGCACGTGACGGTGGCGGCGGCGACGGCGGCGGCGGTGGCGGCGGCGGCGGTGCCGGCTGACAGTCCGACCCAGTACTACACACAGCTGTCGTCTTTCTGGCAACGCCGCCGGGGCCGCGGGCGACCCGTTTAATATTAGAACTTGCGACTTGCGTCGACGGAATAGAGGCCGGTCACCTAGACCTAGCGCGGGGCCGGGCCGGAGGAAGGGAATTACCGGAACCCGAGGGGGGTCAGAGGTCTGGGTCAGGGACCCGGGGGATCAAATATCTGGGTCAGGGCTCCGCAAACGGCCAGCCAGACAGGCGCGCGGCAATGCCGGGCCGGAGGCAGGAGACTGCCGGGACACGAGGGGCCCAGAGGCTTGGGTCCGGGACCCGAGGAGATCAGAAGCGTGGGTCCGGGACCCGACGCAATCAGAGGCCTCGGTCCGGAACCCGAAGGTGATCAGAGACCTGGGTGCGAGACCTGAGGGGATCAGAAGCCTGGGTCTGGGACCCGAAACCAAAGATCTACGTCAGAGCTCCACACACAGCCAGCCAGGCAGGCGGCCAGCCAGCCAGCCAGCCAGCCAGCCAGCCAGCCAGTCCGGAGCTAGTGACCAAGCCTGACTGCGAATCGGGAGGCACCCGACATGTATCGCCGCGGAGTGTAACCTCCCACGTGGATAGCCTGAGGAATGGTGCACATGATTGGCCGTCCGGGAAGTTTTGCACGCTATTGGCGTGTGACTGGCCCCGGCTACCAACGGTGCCTCCACACTCGTGCGTCTGCAAACGCGGACATTCTTGCCGGGATGCCGGTTGTGCCGTGGTGTCTGGCCCCACACCATAGGACCGGACTCCATACTACGGAACCAGGCCCCATGCCATGGGATCAGACCACATGATATGGTGTCTGATCCCATATTGTGGTGTCTGATCCCATACCATGGGCCAGGCCCCATAACATGGTGTCAGATATCATACCATGCGGTCAGATCCCATACCACATTGTCTGACCCAAAGCCGTAGTGTCAGATGCCATGCCACAGTGTGAGATCTCACACCGCCGGGCTCAGGCGTCGGCCCCTGCAGCCGACTCTCACCCGCTGCTGTCAGCCTTAACGCCGCACCGCCGGACAGAACAGCGATGTTGCCCGCTCGGTGTCGCTGGGCCGTCACGGGCCATACTCCGATCGAGGTGCGTCACGGGCGCGCCTCGCGTTCTTTATTCGTGGGCCGCGCTGCCCGCCCGGGCCCAGTCGTCGCTGGTCGGCCCGTCACGTGACTGGAATGCATTGATCCGAACAGAGTCGGTGGCCCGCGCGCAGAAATCGGATGGACAGGAACGGGCTTTGTAGTGGAGCCGTGTGGTGTGGCCGTGTGCTGGGGCCGTGTGGTGGGGTCGTGTGGTAGGGCCGTGTGGCGGGGCCGTGTGGTGGGGTCGTGTGGTAGGGCCGTGTGGTGAGGCGGTGCGGTGGGGCCGTGTGGTGGGGTCGTGTGGTAGGGCCGCGTGATGAGGCCGTGTGGGGGCCGTATGGTGAGGCCGTGTGGTGGGGCCGTGTGGTGAGGCTGTGTGGTGGGGCCATGTGGTGGGGCCGCATGTTGGGACCGTGTGGGGGGCCGTGTGGTGGGGCCGTGGCTGGGGCCGTGTGGTGGGGTGTGTGGTAGGGCCGTGTGATGAGGCCGTGTGGTGGGGCCGTGTGGTGGGGCCGCATGTTGGGGCAGTGTGGTGGGGCCGTGTGGTGCGGCCGTGTGGTGGGACCGCGTGATGAGGCCGTGTGGTGGGGCCGTGTGGTGGGTCCGTGTGGTGGGACCGCGTAATGAGGCCGTGTGGTGGGCCGTGTGGTGAGGCTGTGTGGTGGGGCAGTGTGGTGTGGCCGCATGTTGGGGCCGTTTGGTGGGGCCGTGTGGTGGGGCCGTATGGTGAGGCCGTGTGCTGGGGCCGTGTGTGGGGCCGTGTGGTGGGGCCGTGTGGTGGGGCCGTGTAGTGGGACCGTGTGATGAGGCCATGTGGTGGGGCCGTGTGATGGGGCCGTGTGATCTGGCCGTGTGGTGGGGCCGTGTGGTGAGGCCGTGTGGTGGACCGTGTGATGAGGCCGTGTGGCGGGGCCGTGTGATGAGGGCCGTGTGGTGGGGCCGTGTGGTGGGGCCGGTCACGCGTGGCTGCCCGGACGGCACGCTTCGGTACCGATGCGACGCGAGCCGAAACAATGCACACCGCGGCGCTTATGTTGCGTAACTGGGCGCACTGCAGCGCGAAGGGAAGGACGCGAGGACTATTCGGACAAACATGCTCAATAATAACGACATAAGCCTACACGTTGGTCGCTAACCAAGGCTTGTTTACCATGCGTTCTCTATGAGCGTGAAGCCGCTTAACCAATGACGTCACGTTTGTAATATATTTCAGCACTGTCGTATAGCCAAATGATTCGTGGTTCAGAAGCAGGGTGCCGGATCTGAGGGCTATTGTCAAAGGCATATTAGCATCATTCTCATTCAACAAAAAGACAGTACCACCGAAAAAAGACGATTAAAGCACCGCTTAGCACCGAGTGTAGCTCAGCCACTCTCTAAAATTCAACTTGGCAATAACATTTCTCGTTCTTCCTCCCAGAGAATTGTAATGCAAAATTTTTGAGAAGGAATAAAACCACTTTCAAGCTTTCTTTTAGACCGGGGCCGAGCTGGTCACACTGGATTAGAGCACTGTTATTTGGGTCGAGGTCTGCACGCCCAAGACAGAGACAGTTGTCGTTTGGACGAGATCTACTAGTCGAAAGACCAGGACACTATTCTCTGGAAGAGTTTCGAACATAAAAACACAAAAAGTGGTATTTAGGCGAGATCTGATGCTTTGGGCAGCCTACCACCACGGGCGGCAATGAAGCAGCTTGCATTTACAGCAGGGGTTCAAGCAGGGCACAGACGTTGACTTCGTGGTTAAAGACATTGTCTGACACGGCTATTGTCTGATGTTCGCGTTGCCCGAGCATATGTCTGACGTGCGTATTGTCTGATGTGCGTTTGCCTGACGCGCATGTTGCCTGATGTGTGGTTGTCTGACGCCCGCGTTGCCTTTAGATGCATGCGTCTGACGTGCGTGTTGCCTGATCTGGGCTTGTTTGGCGGGTGTGTTGCCTGGCGTGGGCTTGCCTGACGTGCGTGCCGCCTGATGTAGGCTTGTCTGACGTGCGCGTTGTCTGACGTGGACGTCGTCTCGGGCAGGATGGGTCCCGAGAGCGGGGTAGAAACAAGAGGGTTGATTGACGACAAAATGTATTTGAAGGTCAGGCTGAGAGGACAGCTGGACTCCGTCTGGACACCGGGGGGGGGGGGGGGGGGAGGGGGTATCGCACCCACATGCCACCGGGACAGGACGGGGGGTGGCTCCGGTCACGGTCAGCATCGCGGCTCCCAAGGTCGGTTACCTGGACGACAAAGCCAAACGTCGTCAGCAGGAGTACCAGCAGCCGAGCCGGCGGGCTGAAGCGACTGCCGCCTGCGCTCGAGGTATCTGCCGGCAAAGACGGCAGTCCTGGTCACCCCACCGCCTCCGCTTGGATCAGCTTCGACATGGCGTGTTGGAAGTGGTCGGGCGCACAGTTAACACCACGCAGGTCATCCGGAAGCACAAGATTCGGCGATTTCAAATATTGATGTAGTTTCGAAACCAGATAATTATTTTTGTTTTCAATTTGTTTGTGTGCTAATGCTTCACGTGTTCTATTTGCAAAGCTTCACCGTGATGACACTGCTCATCTTATTGTCGTGCTTCACATTCTTGAAAAGCTGATTGCCATTTACTCTGCAATATTCTTAAAAAGCTTTGAGCCCCACATGGACCCAATAGTGGCCAGGTGCGTGTTGCTGTTAATTTCAATGATGACAATGCTTTATGCTGAAGGATGCGGCCGGAAATAAAACCCAGAACTGCAAATTTCCAACTGTCAGGATTTATGGGGGTAGAGCTGCTTCTGCAACCAGCTCTAACTCGCTCTAGTCATAATAAATACACCTTTTTTTGTTGTGGGTATTTGGAACCGCGGAGCATGAAGTTTTCGGATGTTGCGCTTCATAAACGCCATACGTTCCGACCGCCGCCAATTGGCCATCTCCGATCGAAATAAGCGCCGCAAAAAAGCAGCCACGGCCACCAAAGGCCGTTTAGGACCACGCGACCGCTACCAGCGCTCGTTGTATCTGCTGAGGAATTGGGCAGCCAACGTCACTCAAGGTCATCGACCGGCAAAAACAGCAATGGTTATTCAAAGAAGAACGAACATAGGCAGGCACAAAAAGCTCGTCGAGGGGCTCGCCGGTTGGAAGGATATTCCCGATCTTGATCGCACCTGGTCCATAAGGAGCATACATTTTAAAGTGCACGACCACATGGACAACAGTGTTCAGAGACGTCAAAAGCTAATGACATCTGCAGTACAACGCTTGGGTCCAGTAATTACAAGAAAGAAGAGCGGGCCTAGGAGCAACAGCTCCACACGGAGGCGGCTATGCGTGTTATTAACCAAAACGAGACAGAGTTGGGAGGATTCTGTGCAGCAGCCAACAAACTGTCAATTTTTGGTCGTCACAGTCTTGACTGGGCAGTTATGATCTCCAAAAAAGTATCAGCTGGCTGATAATGATTAGGCACATCTGAAAACGTAACAGTAAGGACTTTTTGGAAAGAAAGGCGACTGTGGCTATGATATAACATTCCATGCTACGTTCACTGCATATTGCCCAGGTTCATGCGTTCATGAGCAGATGTTGGCGTTGATAACTTAGTACGTCAACGGTTTTCTGTCGGGGATCTGGATCAAAGGCCATGCTATCGCGGTCATCGTCAGGAGCGGCTCCAGCTTCGAGCGAAGAGTGATTGAAGTGGAGTGTTCTGGAGGCGGCACCGAGGCCCCTGCCTCTGACGTCATTGCCGCGGCGAAAATCTTGGGATGCGTATAGAAATAGTAGGTCAAGCGTTCTTCGAGAAAGCCGATGCTGTGTTGTGGTGTTGCTGCAATGCGGATAACCTGGCAGCGTTGATGATCAAAACTTGCCAACGTCATCGTGAGGGCGTGCCTAGAAAGGCCCTCCGTCGACCGACTTGGCTCCCTAAGAATCTAGACATCGGGGTAGAGAGACCAGCCGTTTGATCCTTCGGCATGTTCATCGGCATGTTCATCGGCGGCATCGGCATTGGCAAGTCCATCGGCAGAATGTCTCCGCCCCTTCTGCTTCAATGTGTTTGCCCATTCCCGTGCGGTGATACTCCCCGCCCAGCCCCAACGAAGAAGGCTTCCTCGAAATGTCCGCTTCCCATCGTGCCCGCACGTCCGCGGCGGCGAGTCACAGCGCTTCCGCTCTCTCCCGGGATTCACTGCTCTGCACCTGCTGACCTTCACCGGCCGTCAAGGTCACGGCGGCGGCAGCCGAACCGCTCCGGCCGCGGTCCGGCGCCGACCGCGGCCTGGGCGGCGCACGTGGCGCCGACACGAGCGGCAGATGGGAAGCCTTCGGAGAGTCTGGGAGACCCGGAGCGCGCACCATCGAAAGACGGAGAAGGCGAGAACTTTTACCATTTCTTCGAGATAAGATTCGTCCCTCCAGTGGCAAGTGACGCCTTAGATGGCGTACGAAAATTCGAACTGCATTTGTCGGGACACCAAACGTTCACTTCCAAAATCGCGTGCCGGTGCTGCAAGCACGTGATATGACGCATGTAATTTATCATCGGACTTACATTGAACTCTTACGTCCACGCCGGCCCCGCGTCCCCTTCCGCTAGAAGCCCACGTCTATCGTAACAAATCAGCTGGAGTCTTGGTGCGAAAAACTACATTTTCATCTCACAACTAGAGGCAGGAATAATGGCTTCATGCCGGCCAGTTCGAGAAAAAACTTTTCTTCTACAGCCAATCTTCTGCGGACATTAGCCATCAAGCCGGAATGCGCTTCGCAGAACAGATCCAACGAAATATAAAGCCCAGCTTGGTTAAAAGTACAAAGCTGATGCGTCACTCAGCCCCACATTCTGTTTCCTTGCATTTTGTGGTGAGAACCTGAGGACAGGGAAACCCTTCAGACAATCCTAGAGCCGTGGAACTCTCAGACAGTTCGCGCACAAAAAGTCGAATGGAAAAGTGGAATGGAAAAAAATCAGACGATAGAAAGTCAAACGAAACAGGTCGCACGACAAAAAGTAGAAAGGAATAAAGGACGGCTGGAATGAAATCAAATGGAAAGGCGAAGTGTAACAAGATGAAGGAGATAAAAGTCGATAAGAACACAAATCGAATTGGAAAGAAGTCGAACGACGAAAAGTCGAGGAGGATAAAAGCCAATAGGAAAAGTAATAAGGCAAGAAAACAACAAGGGTAACATTCGAAGTGGAGTATAGCAAAAACAAAAACAAAATGTAACGCCGACTAGGATAAACGTCAACTGGAATAAGACAAAAACACTGGTGGTTAAAATGATTTCCAACCGAAGGGCACCAGACGGGCCCACGCGTGGCCGGACACAAGCCACCGGACGTGGCCGAAAGGAACCGGACGGAGCCAGACGGGACCAGACGAAAACGGACGGAACCGGACGACACAGGACGAAATCAGATGGGGCTGGACGGAACATGATGCTATCAGACGGGGCACGATGGAACCAGACAGGACTGGACGGGACCGATGCGATCGTACTTGGTTGTGCGTGCGGTGCCATCTTGACCAAACAAGGCGACACCAGACCGAACCAGATGGTACTGGATGTAACCGGACGGAACCGAGTACAATCGGCTAGGATCCGATCACTTCTGCATGCCCACGGTCTACTGATGTGGTTTCAATGTTTACACCATATTTATCCATTTATCTTGGTTTATGCCGGATTATTCCGAGGTCAATGTTGCATCTATTCTTCCACAAAATAAACATGTTTACTGTGGAATGAGGCATCGAACTATTTCGTTTGTCAAGCGTTAAGGTTAAGATGAGCTAAAAGGCCCCATCGTGTTCTAAAAAGGCCATATTTAGAATCAGAGGATTTCATGGGTCCTTAGTTAATGGTTTGCTTGTAGTTAATAGCCCTAGCTCTAGCTCAATTGAAGTGGAAGTAGGGGGGGGGGGGGGGGGGGCGGGCTGGGGCTCCTACCCGAAATGAATGAGAAACTACCCCTCGGTATTCAACATTATTGTCTCATAGTTCCTGTGCTGAATTATGCTCAATTCATATATACCAGAAGGTAGAGACGAACGACATTGTAGTCCAATTATCGATTACATTGTCATGGCTCCACGTTTAAAGCTGCGCTTATGATAACCAGTGCGCCATCTTAAACACCCACGAACTCTTCGAGGACTTCGTGTCGGATATTGTACCTTTGAACTTTTCATCTTTTGACCTTTTTCACTTGATTCTATCCGACTGAAATCCCCGGCGACGTGTTGTGTTCCAACCTTCTGATTCAACTTTAACACGTGCCGATTTTTATCTTTGTCGACTATCTCCCGTTCTACTTTTTCTCGTTAAACTTTTTCCATTCGAATTTTTTCATTTGACTTTTTGTCCGATACTCTCTCAGACAGTTCCTGGACAGAGAGACTCGCAGAGAGGTCCCGGTCAGAGAGACTCGCAGACAGGTCCCAGTCAGAGTTACTCGCAGACAGGTCCAGGTCAGAGAGACTCGCAGACAGGTCCCGGTCAGAGAGACTCGCAGACAGGTCCCAGTCAGAGGGACTCGCAGACAGGTCCCAGTCAGAGAGACTCGCAGACAGGTCCCGGTCAGAGAGGCACGCAGACAGGTCCCAGTCAGAGAGGCTCGCAGACAGGTCCCAGTCAGAAGACATTCGCAAGACAGGTCCCAGTCAGAGAGGCACGCAGACAGGTCCCGGTCAGAGAGACTCGCAGACAGGTCCCGGTCAGAGAGACTCGCAGACCTGTCTGTCCCCGACAGAGGGGCTCTGCGGCCAGTTACACAGCTCCAGCTGATCTGGAGCCCTCTGAAAGACAGCGGGCCGGGGGAAGGCGCTGAGGCAGGGACCCTGGGACAGTGCCGGGACAAGGTGCTCCAGAGCCGTTCTTTTGAGACCGCGCGGCGCGCGTCGTCTCGCCACTCTTGTTTTGTGGAGCCAAGCGACTGCAGCGGTCACAGCACCGGCCGGAAGTATGGCCTCGGCCGTGAGACGAGCCTGGGCTTCTCACGTTGAGTCTGAGCACGCCCCGTAACTGAGCTATTCCCGCCCTCCCCAGCACCGTTCCAAGATAGAGGGGCCCCTAAAACGGGTCCGGGGAAACGGGTCCGGGGACCCTTCCGGAACAGGGCGACCGTTCGACATTTCCCGGGACGTACACGCCCGGCGTCCATGCTCAGGCCGGCAGAGCTCGTGGCGGTCCGCCCAGAGTCCCTCCCAGCTCGTGATCCCCCCTCCTCCCTCCCCTCCCCCCACATCCCCGGACGCGGCGGCGGCGGCTAATCAGCCGGCGATCCTGTGCGCCCGGGCCAATCATTTGGGATGCAGCCCCTCA